GTCTGAAGGTGAGGTTCATGAGAGACTGATAGCCCTTCCTCAAATGCTCCAATTATCCCTGGATAACAAAAGCACACTGGGCTTCTATAAGACTCTTATTAAGAAAGGATCTGAGAATGAAGCCTCCTTCCTGTTTTGGTGATGAGTGCTCTCACCATGTTGCCCAGGCTTCATTATGTTTCCGCCCAGATGCTTGAGCCCAACTCGTAGGCTCAGGTACTCTTTCCATTTAGCCACCCAAGCAGCTGGGACTATAGGTGTGTACCAGACTATAGCTGTGCTCTGAAGGAAGCATTGGGGGAAGCTACAGGGGAAGGCTAAAGATTAGAACCTTTCTGAACACTTGCCCTCAGCAGTGAGCAGAAACACTGTGGGTCCTTGAGGGAGCACCAGACCATTGGTCTTACTCATGGGTAGGGAAGGTCTGAGGTGTGATGGGGAAACCCCAAAGGAAGATGTGGCAGTCAAGTGAGGTTGTATATTTACCAGGAGCTCCATTACAGATGCCTGGCTTAGGCCTACCTGCTGCTCTGCTCTCCCAGGGGACAGCAGACAAGTTAGATTGAATATAAAATATTCGGTCAGACATATTCTCTGAAGCAACTAGACACTTCGGTGTCTTGTAGAGAACTGGTAAAGAAGTTTCTTAGCTTTAAGCTGCCATGGAAACTGAGGCTTGTGATGTCATCACTACCCAGTGAGATCACAAAAGGAATGTGTGTCTTGAGTGGCAGGCTTCAGATCCTTCCTATTTTATGGAAAACAGGGTGAAAGAAGCAAACTCTGCTTCGACCCTCCCTTCTGACCTTTCGTAGTCAACTAGTCTGTCTGTGTAGCAAAATGGGAGTTGAGAACAGCCCATGACCACAGGTGGCATGAGAACCCAAATTATTAAACTGGTCAGTCATGATTAAATACAGAGACAAGTAGGTTGCATAGCCCTGATGCTAAGTATTTAAGTGTTGGAGAGGCAGAGACTTGAGTAGATTATTTGTTGGGGGAATGCTCCTTGGAATGAGCCTGAATGTAAATTAAGATTTGGGCTTGCATGGTGGTGTACACCTATAATTCCTTTCACTTGAAAAGCTGAGGCCGGAGATTTTTTTAATTCAAAGCCTGTCTCAGCAACTTAGTCCATAAGCACTTCAGTGAGACCCTGTCTGCAAATGAAATAGAAAAGAAGGGTTGGGGCTGTTGCCCAGTGGTAGAGACAGGCACCTTGGGACTTCATTCTTCCCCATAGTTTAATCCTTTAATGAGTTGGAGGTGTGCTTCAATGGTAGAGATTATTATTATTATTTTTCTTTTGGTACTAAGGATTAAATCGAGGGGCACTCAACCACTGAACCACATCCCTAGCCCTATTTTGTATTTAATTTAGAGATAGGGTCTCACTAAATTGTTTAGCACTTCGCTTTTGCTGAAGCTTGCTTTGAACTTGAGCTCCTCATGCCTCAGCCTCCCGAGGTGCTGGGATTACAGGCCTTGAGGTGCTGGGATTACAGGCGTGTGTCACAGTGCCTTGGAATTGTAGAGCCTTGAAGTGTTTGCCTAGCATGTGTGAGGTCATGGGTTTGATCTTGGGCTCCATAAAAAAAAAATGAAAAACAAATTCTTTGCACCCTCTCCTTCTTAGAAGTTAGGTCTCAAGCACATGTTAAGGGCCAAAGTCACACAGGTAGTGTAGAAGTCTGCTTAACAGTAGGGTTTCATGTTGTTCATGTTGGGGCTCCAGATTTATAGCTAATTTGGCAAACTTGTTACATTTCAAGCTGGTGGACAATGAGAAAGATGTTAAAGGTGCTCCAAGGAAAATGAGAGCCTCCAGTGAATTTATAAAGCAGGAATGACAGGCCCATTTTAATGTAAAATTTGAAACATCTTCATGACAAAAGGACATTACAAAATTACATTATCATTTCAGTCCCTGTTCTTCAAAAAAGGAAAATAAACCATGTGTAGTCATTCAAGAAAAAGAAAATAAACTCAGCTGATTCTTTGTTCTATACGAGGCAATTTGGAACGTGAATTATTAAGTACATTGAATTCTGCCCCATGATAATTATAGTTAAGGCAGCCCGTGAAAACATCATTTATTGCTAGAAATCATGAAATGACAGAAAATCAAAAATGCATTTTATTCTTCACATTTTATGTGAAAGACTATGCTACTATGGTCCAATGCTCAATTACTCCAATATTGGCCAGTAGCTCATCTTTCAAAACAACAAGCAGCCCCCAGGCCCTGAGAGGCATTAAGAGCACCCTAGCTGACAAGTTGTTCAACCTCCCAGGACACCAGGAAAGATCCCTAATCCAGAATCCCATTTTAGTTAGCCAAAATCAGGCTTGCTGAAGCCAGTGTGCTCTCACTGAGGATGCTCCTCCTGGAAGTCGCCTTCTTTGTACAGCTGCTAGTTCAATCTTCTGAACCAGCCTCACAGCTCACGGATGGGTCATACAGCTGATGACTGCACCTGGCACCTCACCTGGCACGGCTCACCCTCCTTGCTCTGTGAAGGGGAAAATCATCATTGACAAGAGCTCTACATGGGTGCTGTCTAGTCTCTGAGAGGCTACATCTGTGTAGGGCAGAATGTCTTGGGATCCCTTCCTGAAGCACTGGAAGATACCTGCCCTCATTGAAGCTGGCATTTGCCCCTGAAACCTTAAGTGTTTGATCTTGTGGTCATCCACAATATTATCCCAGCCAGTTCACAGTGCTGGAACCGTTGTAGAACACCAGGACTGTTCCTGAGGATCCAGTCTTGTCTGCTTTGTCATGCTGCTTGAGGATCTGCACCAACCTGTCACCTTATTTGTTCTCTTCAGCCTCATAAATGTTTGTCTGACATGAAGCTTAATGCAGTGGAGCTTGGAACTGGTGATGGTGGTGAGAGAGTCCAGGATTCCGCCTTAAATTAGCAACTGGCCCATGCCTTCAGATCTCATGTTTGGGGCCAACCTCAGCAGCTTAGGGAGTCCCTGTCTCACAAAGGATGGGGACGGTCTGGGGTTGCAGCTCAGTGGTAGAGCACTTGCCTAACATATGAATTACTAAGTTTGATCCTTAGCTTCTCATTAAAATAAATAAGTAAAATCATGTTTTGTGTTATTTTTTAACTTAAAAAATGGATGGGAGATTTGGTAAAGGACCCCCAGTACAAAAAAAAAAAAAAAAAGTATAGGTGGAAAAGTCTCTTGTTCCTTAAGGAGGGGGAATCTTTACTTTTTTATGTTTTGAATCTCTCATATGTTTAGTGTGTTATCTATTCAAAAAAAGAAAAAAAGAAAGGAAGGAAGGAAGGGAATTCTATTGTGAAAAATTGCTGTGGAAGGGCCAGTGAACTTGAATTTTAGATTCTGTGATTCCATAAGGATCGGCTGGATTTTGTGTATGAGGGGTGAAAGACAGATGGAGCTGGGTGAGTTCCCGGGCTTCCTTGAGATGTCTAAGTCTTGTATCTGTGGCCCTCAAATGCAGAGCTATTGGCTCCTCCACCCTGCCAATTCTCAAAATGCAAGCCTAGCCAAATCTGAGGTGACTCTTTTTTTGTGTGTGTGTGCCAGGGATTGAACCACAGGATGTTTAATCACATTCCCAGCCCTTTTTGTTTTTAATTTTGAGACAAGAGTCTCACCAAGTCGCTGAAGCCCACTTTGAGCTTGTGATCTTCCTTGCTTACTCTTCTAAGCTGCTGGCAGTATAGGTATGCATTAATGCACCTGGAATTCTGTGGTGATTTAATTTCCCTCTGATTGAATCTGTCATCCTTGATGTGAAATTAAACTGTAACATCTGAACTTAAATCTCTGAGCACATTATTTGAGCATTCATTAGTATGCAATATGTATACTGTATTTATTGGATTTGCTTTCCCCTTCATTCAGATTTTCAAAGATTTCATTCTCTTTTACCCTCCCATGAGATACTGATTACTAAAGTAATTTATTGTAATGTCTAGAACATGGGAAATATAGAAAATTGTAACAAGAGCTAGGTATGGTGGCTTATGCCAATAATCACAGCTCTTTGGGAGGCTGAGTTCAGTGGTAGGGCAAGCCTAGATTCAATTCTCAGTACTGCAGAGGGAAAAAAGAAAAGGGCAAGAAAATTGTTGGTAATAATCCTATTATAATGAGACAAACATTGTTAGGGTTGAGTTTTAAGTGTTTCATATATGCAGTTTCTGTTTTCTGGTATTTTTGTTTGTTTGGCATGTATCTGGATCCTCAAGACTGGGACACTGTTGCTGGCTGAGGAGAAGGGCCTGGACAATGTTTGTGTCCCTGCAAGACTTTAGTGTTGGTACTAAAGCAAGTATTGGGTATGTGAGGAAGGAGTATTTAAATCTCATCACTTAAGGAGGATCCATTGTCTTTTAAGGTCTTGGAAGATGGCAGGTTTAGTTTATTATGACACTGAGACCTGAAAAAGAATTTTTTTTCTTTAAAAAAAAATCCAGGTGTACTTAAACATCAAACCACATCTCTATTCCTTTTATATTATTTTATTTTTTATTTTGAGACAGGGTCTCCATAAATTGCTTAGGGCCTGGTTATGTGGTAAGACTGATCTTGAACTTGTGGACCTCCTGCCTCAGCCTCCCAAGCCACTGGGATTATTGGCATAATCCAGCCAGAAATTCTGTAGAGCCTACTTCTAGAGATCCATGGGTTTTGCCAAGGGCATCATTGTGGTGACTTTAGAATTCATCAGATTCCTGACCTTGTGATTATGGGCATGAATCTTGCTGTCTTCCTACTTGTTTAGGAAAATGCCAGTTGTCAATGGACCTTGGTTACAAGGTTTGCATACCATGTTACCATAGGAGGCGGGGGG